ATTAATGACCGTAAATGAGCATTTCAGCCGGGCTCCAATGGAACCTGCCGGCACAGCCCGGAATCCCGCAGCACTCCGCATGGAGGTGACGGGGCTGAAATAGGAAATAGCGGCCCCAAAGTGAGAGGAAAAGCCGGGATCTCCGGGATAATCGCGGCAGGGCCGGGTCTGTCACCCTCACGCCTTCCCTGTGCCACCCCGGCTGGGAAAGGTCCCTTCCCAAAACATCATCCCATGGGATTCCGGGCARATATTCCCTGTACACCCCCGGTTCTCATCCCTACCAATCCAAAATTCAGGTAAAAAAACAATAACAACAAAAAAAACCACCCCAACAAAAAACAACCACACCCCGAGGTCATAAATAAAATGTTCACATGCTTTTCCWTATTCTCTTCCCTATGGACAAACGCTGTTGCTGATCTTGGAAAACGGGAGTTTTCCAAATGCCATTKCGAACACAAGGTGGCAGGATTAAAAAGCACATTTTGTGAACAAAATGTATCACATTTGCATCCCACAAAATGTGGAGATACGAAACTTGTGTCGTTGGGCTCACATGGAACACGAATAAAGTGTTGGAAATAACCGGGAGAGGAGCTACAATGTTGTTCTCCAGCACAGCCAAAAAGCAGGATTATATTCCCAGTGAAATTACAATAAAGGCTCAAAAATGAAATCAATTCAAAGAGCTGAGAATTAAAAMAAAAATAAGCAAAGATGGGGCKAATTAGCTTAAGATCTTTCTGATGCAAAACCATTCCTGAGGAATTCAGACGCTGAAGAATACAAATGCTCCAAACGAAATGTAATGCACAGGAAAATTCTCAGTRGGCATTAAATTCCAGCAGATCTGGAGTCCAGAAAACACTCAGAAACAAACTTAAAWCTTATTTATAAACCACTTTAAAGAAAGAAAAGGTGGTGAAGTCTGAAACGTCCAAGAAATAAAAGCAACTCATTGCAAACACGGTGTGGTTAAAACAGAGGTAGCTTTAATGCTGCTTCAGTTAAAAACATATGGAGAAGGATTTCAGTTCCTCATTTTAAGTTTCAAATTTCAACTTGAACAGTCTTAACCAGTGTAAACAGCATTCAACACCTCAGTAGTGTCCTCTGAATGTGCTGGTGCTCGGGGAGAAATTTCTCCTGATGCTTCATCTCACCACTTTTATTCTCATCAGGMAGTCATTCATTTAAAAAGTGTAATCAGAGAAGTGAAAGGACTTCAACAGCTCTTCTCTGGATGAGGGAAYGCTGACAAAATCCATTGATTGAGCTGATAATAAAATTAAAGTGTTTTCCAATTGGTCTCTTTTGTGCTGCTTCCAAATCTTCACATGGGTGAGGGCTGCCAGGCCATCCACAAGATGTGTCTTAAAAATAAGCTTAGCCTAAAGGCCCTTAGAGTCAAGAAAATCAGTTAATTTAAAAAAAAAATATGTGCAGAGAACAGGAAAAAACAAAGAAACAGTCTAAAAAATAAATATGTGGAAATCAAGGAAAATAAGGAAAGAAAAGCCTGTTAAATTTAAGAATAATTGGAACAGTCACGCAAAAATTTTGTTCCAATGGTGCAAGAAGTGCAGAGAAGAAACAGTTTGAATAGAAAAATAATCTTTAAAGTCTTTGGTAGCAGTGAATTCTTCAGATTTTTACAGTACTTGTATTCTAAAAATAGTTTTCTATTCTTCACGTAAGTATATTTTATAATTTATTTCCTAGTGTAGTTTATTAACAAAACTTATAAAAAAAGCCGGAGAGAACAATTCAGAAAGASATGTGAAAATATCTTACAGAAGACACAAATATCTGAACTGGGTTSACTCTATTTCTAGATCTGGCTCACATAATCCCGAATTTTCCTGCTAGGAAGTTTGTTTTCCCTGGGGATGTGGTGTTTTTGCCATCCCCTGGCCTGGCAGGATCCAGGGTGGTGTATCTGATCTGGAACCCGCCCGCYGTCACCGAGGCATCCGTCAGGAACTTCAGTGTCATCACATTGCCTGCCACGAGGAAAACACAGAAATTATGGGGTTTAGTGGCATCRAAATGTGGTGTTTCAGATGTATTTTTGATGTTTTGAAGTTTTTTTTGGATGTGTTTTTTGGGTCTTTCTTGCTGAGCTTTCCAGCAAWCTGCTGGGTTTCTTTGATTCCAAGGTGGAAGGATTTTAGATCCATTATCTCCACAGAAAACCAGAAAATTATTCATCAGTTGTCTCAGTTTGCAGAGCCCAGAGGTTGAGAAAATATTGCTTTAATGTCCTTTCCAACCCAATTCCTTCCATTTTTCTGTGATTAATTCAATTTTTCTATTCCCTTTCTGACAGTAACGTGAGTTTCCACATAGATTATCCCAGGGAACAGAATCCAATCCCAGGGAACAGTCCCCTCTAATTAGGCTGATTTACATTTATTTCAAAGTAATTAATTGCCTTTTTGATTTACCATGAAAAGTGCAAATAAATTACCTGTGCTAATGATGTCATCTGGTAACTCATCTCCACAAAACCTGGAAAAACATGGAAATGGGGACAATTAAAGGACATGGGAACTCTGGCACAGCCCTGCTCCAAAGGGACCTGAATTGCTGGGGCTCAAGGGGATAAATTGCTTTTAGATCCTCAGTATTTGGAATTCTGTGTTAAAACAATTCCCTAAAGAATTTTTTTATCATTAYCCCACAGTAAAAATTATAGGAGGAACCAG